ATTTATCGAATATGTAGGACTTTCTTTAATAGAGAGATATAATGGGATCTCTGACATTAGTGTCGTATTTTTAGTACAAATGGCAATTTATAATATCAATTTCACTTGAACTTGGAAGAAGAAAATTGTAAGTAAACATGTAAGACAATAAAAAAAGGAATTTCATTAGACTTGTGGTAGATGATCGAAATTCAATGTCATTGAAAATATGATTAGGCTCAGCTCATTTAGCCTGCCACTCACATCATCACAATTGCCACTCACAGCATAACAATTTCATTGAATTCATAGTTCAAATAACTACACAGTAATGTAGGAGCATCTCATTTTGATACTCCCCAGAGACCTTAAATGACCATGTTGTGCATGCAAAATCTATCTCGGGGAACATTTGACATATAAAACAAAAACTATCATCAAATAAAACTTTCTGCATTAGACTGCCATGAAAAAAAAAAAAAGAAAGAAAAAACACTTCAGCCTTAAGATCAGTTTCTTGCTTTACATACGATGATTTGGAGATAGCCTCAATCAAACTTCGATCTCTTAGGTTGCTTGTGGGGACTCCATGGAAATAGTGTTGATATCAGCCTTAGCGACATCTTGATTTGCCAGGGCTATTTTCTTTAGAATAAACACTATCAACTATATGTTTGAGGATAAAGGATATGTTTTGCAGAAGCCAATCAAAAATTTGTGATGTAGGAAGTGGGGCAGCCGGCATGTCTAAATTTGAGTCGCGAAGAATGGATTATTGTAGCTAACAGAGTCTCTCTTAGCTTGAGACAACATCAATGTACTACAGTTGCTGCTAACCAGCTGCAATAAGTAAACCTCTTTATAGAAGAGTCAAAACTGTACGTTGAGTTACCTACTTAACATCTGCATCCTACAATATTTGCTTATAAGGCAGTCAATGTCGAATCCTCGTGGGTAACAAAACTAATAGACAACAATATCACGTATATTTTTATACATGATCCCAAGGTTGCCAAAATCCAACACTTCTTCCTATATACGCATAGTATAATTAACATAAGCTCGATTCTAGCGTGCTTTAATCTAGACCACACTCAACTACGACAAGGACACATTTTCACAAACACGGAACACAAATGTTCAAACAAAGTTCAAAATGAAAATTAAATTGAACTGAAATTTACTCGAATAACAAATTTCTACCCGAACAAATAATTTGAAAGAAAAATCTTAATATAAAGAACCTTAAAACTATAACAACAAAATCTTCGGAGACCAACTTGACAGTAAGAAAAGTTTAAATAAGTCCAGAAAAACCTTTTGAAACTTAAAGACTTTACAAGTAACAAGATAAATTTGTTGTGTTTAATTTAACAAGACTAAACATTGGAATAAGAAGTTCAGATACAAACACATAAGACACACATATATATAAGGCATTCTGCAATGTACAAATGCACAAAACCATATGAAAATAGTAAGGAAAAACATGTAGAACCTAAAAGAGTAAAAAATGTCAGTTGAAGCTAAAATTCTACAAACCACATAATAGTGATCTAAATAGTATTAGGCCAGGTAAACAAAATCATCAATCAACATCAACATACCCAGTATATTCCCAACAGGTTGGGGTCTGGGGGGTCAGTTGTACGCAAACCTTACCCTTGTAATTATACAAGGAGGCTGTTTCCATAGCGACCCAAGGTGCGTTGAGTTGTTTGATATATTTTTTTTTTTCTAGAAACTTCACTAATAGAAGAAGCACTAGAATTTAATTGAGCCATTTTGATTTAATCCATTATTAGCATTATGCCAGGTAAACAAAATAGCCTAATATAAAAAAGTCATAGCCAAATGATTACCAGTTGCAATTATACTCTCGGCATACTCTCGGCAGGAGAAAGATTGGCACCAGGAAGACACAAAGCATCTCTTAGGGGAAGTTGTTTGGAACTGGAACACAAAGAGTAAACAACATCACTCATAAGAAACAACATCAAATTAGAACTGTTTACACCATGACGATCCATTGCCTAAACCTAACATATACATTAGAGTGGTGACGATATAAAGCCAACATATACATTCATATGTAACTGTCTTAAAGAGCAGGTACAAACCTCTCCGCAAAGAGACTAGAAAAAAGATCTTAACATCCGCTAGAGTAACCTATGCATTGAACAAGATACCATAAATCGTTGGCCACGATGTGTCCATAAAATAAGTGTACGATTATTAAAGTTACTTTTTGTCAATTTTCAGAAAATAGTTCTTTCACACATCTCCCTTTCCTCACAGAGTGATTTTTCCCACAATTAAAATAAATTAGCACTGCACACATCTGAAACAGTTGAAGGTTGAATTGTGAGTAAAAGTAAACCATAAAAAAAGTACCTCACTCTTGGCAAGAAAGTCGGCTTAACAGGTGCAACTGCAGTATTGGAAGGCAGCATTCTCGCTGGATAGTATCCAAGCACTGTCGCGACCCAAGCTTAATATTCCATGGAGAAACACTCTCACTGCCCGAACCTCGGTTGCATCTATGGCGAAACACCAAGGTTTCAGAAATTAAGGGATTGTAGTCCTTGGTCTCCAAAACCTCCACGGAGGAATGAGATTGGAAAATTCATGCCCATATCACCATCTTTAAGGCCTGAAATAACCAACAAAAAAAAGTTTTTTTTTTTTCTTTTAATAAGGCCTATACTTGAAGTTGGATATCAATTATATAGTCCCAATTGTTGGTTCTCTTGTAGAAATTACTACAGTTTCAATTACTCCTCAACTTTAAAAATATTATAAATAGGCCTTTTTTGGGGGAAGCTCTGATTCACACAGAGACGCTGCAAGTAAAGCTTTCACGGGCAAAAAAAAAAAAAAAATCTTATCCTCTCAGTAATCTTCTTGAACAAATTTGTCTCATTATTTTCTGGTTTCCTGGTTTCATGTGTGTTTTCTCTTTGTCTTTGTCAAGAACATCTCTTTCCCATGAAGAAGATGATAAATCACTAGTGTACAAACGCTCCTTGGTAAAAAAACAATTACAAAAAGTGCATCAATTTTTAAAACTCATATTACATATATTGGGATTAAAAGTATGGAAATATTATAAAGACTTGATTTTTATGTAGGATAATATTGAAGCGTAATAACTGATTAATCACTTCATCAGCTAAAAAATTAAATATGTTTCCTAATGAAAAGAAATTTGAATTGGAGATAGATAATAGCTAAATATTCTCTTTCTTGATAATTGCAGTATTTATGTGAGTGATTCTGATAATATGAATTCCTGTGAGACATGAATTCTGAAATTTTTATTGGTTTAAACCAAGAAAAGATAAGTGAGAGAAGGTCAAAGTCATAGACCCACCCTTTCTTGGTTCAATAATTCCTGCAATATTAGTAGAGATTCAGAAACATCCTGAATGCTGCAAACAAGTTCTAACACCCCCAGACTGAACCTCACTGAACAATAAATCTACCAAAGAAAGCCAACCACTTAAACACACACACACACACACACACACACACACACACTTTTTTCAATCTACACTAAAACAAACACAAATTTAGAGAAGATTAATTACCTGCTTTTTTCGACGCCAATCCTCGATGCCCTCTTTAACCATAGTTGCACCAGTAACTACAATCAAGGGAACAATAGCACTCACAGCAGAATAAGGGGAAAGTGAAGTGAAATACAACATCCCAATCACAAGAAAGTAGAAATTATCACGCTCCAATTTTATTAAAATATAAAATAAACATATTTAATTAATTATGAAACAACCCCATAGGGGTATACCGTATATATATATACATATTATGACAGAAAAAACTTGGCCTTTCGTGCCCAAAAAAATCAAGCATAAAATTTGAGTATTTAGTAACCCGTACGACCGGACTCAATTTAATCCATAATTTTTTGTGAAATTAGAGTATTTAGTAACTGTAATTAATAACTACAAGAAGAGTAATTGGTACAATAAAGATGATGATAGACGTTTGTAGATACTTTGGCTTTGAGCCCAAATTTGTTTTCATGTGGTTTACAATGATAATCGTGTACTATACCAATTTTTGTTATTTGTGGTTGAAATTCATCGCGAGATTCTCTGGCCTTGTGAGGATCATTAGAATTAAATCATAATCAGACCCAGCTCGTCAAAATAGTAGCTTTTTTTATGCGGGAAAAACGAAAACAAAAAACCCAAAAAGGGTAGACGAATGACGGAACAACGCAAAAATGAAGTCGAGATCCTAAGTACAAAAGCCCAAAAAATGAAAAAGGAAAAAAAAAACCAGACACCTGAGGTAGGACGTGTCATCTCGAGATTCTCTATGAACTCAGGCCCAACCTCTCTCTGAAGAACATCATTGAGCAGATTCCCACTAACTTGCACTCGTCATCCGAGAACTCTTGAGCCCACCAACAAAAAGGAAACAAAACCTTGGATTATTGAAGAAATAAAAATAAAAAAAATAAATAAAATCAGCAGCAGAAAAAGCTAGAAATCCGACCTTGTTGAACTGAAGCCACTGTAATAAGAAGGATACAAAATCCTCTCAACGTCGAATTTGCCCGAAACTGAAAAATATCAGAGGCAGACGCAATAGAAGATGTCTTACTTCGATTCAATTCAGGTGAAGTGTAGTTGAAGGTTGCAAGGGCAGGATTAAATCTTCTACATCATATTCTTAGTAAAACCAAAGCAAGTTTGACAAAGCCAAAAATCAATCAAGTTGCAGTAAGGCAAAATAACATTGGAAACAAAAATTAACAACCCGTAAGAGGACATTCTTATGGCTCACCAACGCTCGGAAATATGAAAGCTCGGAAATATGAAAGAGCCAAGTAAGATAAGAAACTCTCTCAAGCAAATGAAGATAAGCTCGACCTTGTAGAAGCTACAGTTAAACTAGAAACAAAAATATGAAACAATCAAAAAATGACCGAAAAAAATGACAAGAAACTGAGACGAAACACAAACAGATAAACAGATGTAAGAGGACATTCTTCATACCTGTTTGATGGATTCGCTGATATCAAGCCCAATTCCATGGCTGAAAAAGAGAGTAGGGTGAATCAGATCAGAATACTCCAAGGCGAGTAGGAAGCTAGAGTTTGTGTAGGAAGAGTCCACCAGGTCGGCCCGCGGCGAGCTGCTAAATATTCGATGGAGGCTGCCATTGTTCACTGATGATTCTCCAATCTGTAGAAAATATCTGGAGGAGGTAGACAGGGAATAAAATCAGACAAAAATATCAGTGCAAACAAACAAAGATGAGTAGCAGTGATGGTTTGATGAAAAAGGGTTTGAGAATAAATACACTTCGAATGTACCTCATCCGGATTTATCATTTGGTGCTCTTTTGCAGTTGCGGATCTCACGGAGCACCACTGTCTTGGTACGTAAGTGGTGGGTCTTCTTCACACCTCTGGTCGCTGGAGAAGACTTCTTCGATGCCTCGGTCTTCGTGCGTCCATACCTCTTGAGTGATGTTTCCAACCTTCGTTGACCTGGATGGCCTTCCCTGAACAATTATTTTCTGGAGGTAATCTGCAAGTTCCGTCAACAAATTAGTGTTAGACCACCCTAGAATGTAAGTAAATTAATTCATTGATTGAAGCTTTCAATTCTATTATCATGTTGCTAGTGTTATTGCTTAATCAAATTATATTCTACATCCGCATCTTTTGTTTCCGACAAGCAACCAGTTACAATCTTGAAAATTCTAAGGTTTCTCATGTATTTAACCAAAAACTCAGGACAAAGGTTTTTATTTAACCTCCAATGGTAAGTTATGTAAGATTTTGCAGTCCACATAGTCAGTTAAAAGCTATCAATGAAACTGAAGGCACCGAAACTTTAAGATGATAAAATCCAAAATGCTAGCAACTTAGGAGCAACAATTCAGAACAAACAATCAGAACAAACTGATATACCTCTTTCAATGATAATTCCTGCAATCGACTTTTCCTCCCCTGGTTTAACGACCACCAGAGCTCCAACATTGTGCTGAGTCATCTACATTTGAAGAAAAAATAAGGGCAAAAAGAAATTAAATTGAAAAATGTTCATGATCTAATCTCATTTTCATCTTTCGCGTAAAAAATTACAAAAGCCAACATGAAGATCTACAGTGGTGCATATAGGGGGGAATAGACAAAGAAACAACATCTGGATAATTATAAAAACCAACAAAAAGAGCTTAAGCTTACTTATAACTGCTTCCAGCTTATATAAAGCTACAAACGCCCTTCGGCATCTCCTGCATGCCTTATAAAAAACTCATCTTGAGGCTACAATTTTTAACAGACAAACAAACGTCAACTCGTATTTCTACCTAATTCAGAATCTCAAATATAATTGAAAAACAAAGATGTGTACTACTGATTTCATGGCTTCATACATACTGTCATCAGTCGTGCATCAAAGTCAAAGTCAGGACCCATCCGCGCCCTTCCCTTTAACTTTCAGAACATCAAAATTGTGGTGCTCTCGAAACCGTGCTCTTCGACACGAGCCACAGAGGTTGACCCTTGGCGTGCAAAAATCCGAGTCCTCGTGGCTGGTGGAGCCACCCGGACATGGCGAAGAATCGTGTTCTTGAGATCTGGGGGGAGTTGTTGGGGACCATTGATGTCGCTGCAAATGGAGAATTTCGGTTTGTATAAAATTAGGAAATAGAAAAAAAAAACTTCTAAATATGGGTTTCATAGTCGAGAAAGAAAAAACCAAAAAAACTTCCAAATCATGGATTTATAGTTCAACAGATCATATTTGCCGAAATTTATCGCCAGAATGAATGAGTTCTCCGTCCGTCGGGTCCGATTAATTCACTTTGGGATTGAGATCTCCTCTCGTTCACTGCTCACAAGAGGTAGAGTTTTGGGAAAACAAATCTAAGATCTGAGAGATGATTGTGCGAGCTTTATCGGAGCTACGTGATTTGCGTAGAAAGGGATGCGGCAGCGGTCGGGTGGTCACAGAGGGTCTCAGCGGTGACGACAGGGGCAGGGCAGAAGAATCAGCCGCGAATGTTGCCGGCAGAGGAGGAGAAGCGGTGGAGGGATGCTATCGGAAATTTTTGCTCCCTGGCAGAAGAGAGAAAAGTGGGTGGGTGAATGAAAAGACAATCGCAATTCCTAGTGTGACACTGTCTGGTTTGCGTGTAGAAGAAAAGATTGTCAGAGTTAAATGAAGAGCTAATTTCAGGAGTTTGCAAAACTTGAAAAAACTATAAAACAAATTTACTAAAACAACCTACATTCTTGTATTGCTATACAAGAAATGAAAGGATATTTTAGTCAGCTGAAAAACTGGACACATGTAAAGCTCTCAAATGGAACATCGTATTAAAAAAGTCAGTGGGTTCTTAAATTTATCAAAAATCTCGAGTTGATCTTCGCGCATCCATCCTCGATCCATTTCCTGTCAACATGTGAGTGGCAGATGTGTGGTGGCGGCGAGGTTTTGAGAATCGGAGAATTGATAAATTAGAGTAATTGGTTAGATATGGTTTGTGAAGTGGGAAAGGTACAAAGGTGTTACCTTCTCGAACTGAGAAATGAGAGTAATGTGAGTCACTAATCGTCGTTCTCGAAGCCGCGCCGTGGGCTTCATCGTTAATCTTCAAATGTTCGAACTCTTGCATGGTTGTGGGTGCTCGATCTGCATCTCTCGACGATGAAAATAAATTTCTAGGGGTTTCATTTTCTTCTTTCTCGACGCTCATCTAATGAAACAACCATGTTTGCCTGCTCCTATCTCATCTCCGACTTGCTTTGCGCGAGAATTCTGCGAAAAAGGACGAAAGGATTTTTCTCCGGCCTTGACCTCCGAGAACTCGAGCAAAAGCAATTCGGCCCAATAAACTGAAAGAATAAAAAAAATGCAGGTCATCAGATGTAAAAAGAAGTGAAAGTCAAGGGCATTGAAAAAAATTTCCACGTGTTTAGTGATCAAGCTAGCACTGGCCTGGAGCAAAATTAAAACTCATCAGCCTAAGAACACGTTCATAGATGATGAACAAACAAACAAACAAACAAATATAAACCTCATCATATTATTTTTAACTCTCCCTTCTACTCGTAAACTGATTGAACACCTGCATATAAAAGTTAGAGAATTAATTTGCTCAACAGAAGCACAGTTCCAAAGCTGAAAATAGCTCAATCTAGAATCACTTACCAGAGCCGGTCCCAGGTGACCGCAAAAATGGCCACAAGAGGATTTTAATAAAGTAACGTACATCATTCAAAAGGATCAGAAACATAAATCAAAGAAGCACCAACCTGGTACTCGGACACACGCTGCAAGACATCCTTGACTATGCATTCGAAAATTATTTTCCCTACACCAAATTCCAGGAAAAAAAGGATCAATGAGTGGGTTTTCAATAAGTTTCAAGCCCTCATCATCCATGAATTTTTTCTTAAACGTCCTTACCTAAAACAAACCACTACAAACAATCAAACATTTAGAGCAGACGCCAACAAACCATAAGTAAAAACATGGGAATAAACCTGCTTCTTATTGGGAACAGTAACATAAACAACAATGCTGGTCACTTTGATCTTGTCAACTTCCATCCTTGTGCTAGGGACTATCTTTATTCGAGCCTGCTGACCAAATCTTGACCTATAGATATCAAGGGAAAATATCAACTATAACCTTTGGATGTAATGTTTGCGAAAAAGTTCAGCCATATTTACCGGAATGTATCGGCGGAATTAGGCCGATTTGTACTCTCTCTCTCTCTCTCTCTAAGAAAAAAAATAGATCATTCAACAGAGGACAAATCAGTCACACGAAGAGATCGAGAATCGGGTTTCGAGCGAATACAAAGATAAAATAGGCTGACACTCAGGTGCTCCAATTTTATACTGCAATCCGGGTGCCTGCCCACGATCAATATCTCCTCCACTTCCAACTCTCGATTCCGGAGCCCAAATTGATGGAAGGTTGTTCAGAAGAAGATGTTCTTGAGTATGCAGTTGTTTTTCAGGACTGTGAACTAGCTGCCTTGTCGCCGACACCATTGCCGTTGCTCCTTGCACTATAGTCGGTCGACCACCGTCCATCGCCTCGCCGCCGCTGCTAGGGTGGAGTTGGGAGATGAGGTTCTGCACCTCAATCACTGAAACATTTTTTAAAATTAAATCATAAAAACAAACAATAAAAATCCACAATCACACACAAGACGAAACAACGTACGCACACTATCGGCGGATTGTGCCCAATTCACGGATATCACATCATTGATGATGGTACAGTTACATAAAGAAATTTATGCTAAATGAAGACCCAATCCACAATATACACACTTTTTTGTCGTGCAGGTAAGTGGGATGTTAACCATCGGCGGAAGCTGATAATTTGACATAAAATGATTTACAGACTGAAATGATTAGACAACCACCAAAAACTGGAAGTATATATGAACATTACTGTTGGCAATTTCACCAAAGTTTATCAAATATCTTCAGTAACATTACATACATTCACTCAGCAAGAATAATGACATGTAGAAACAGAAGTAAACAACAATTTATCAATCATATGTTGAGCAATATCAATTGCTATCAATATGCCACAACTCATTTTTACAGAAAATTGCACTATGTGTTCGCCAAGTAAAATTCCTAAAAAATCACAAAATAAGCTAACAAAACAATAGCTGAGAACAAACCCTTCAAAATCAAATCCAGACCTTCGAAGCCTGCCCATCACTATTGCCCGCTTGTTCAGTCTGTAATTGTAGATGCTAGACAACAAAGATGAAGAGGAAGATCAGGCCCTCTTCCGGAATTAGTTAGTGAAAAGAAGTCATTCTATTGATTTTAATTTTTATGGCACTAAAAGATTACCTGCCCGAGTAATTTTCTCGCGAGACGGCCTCTGGGTTTAGGGTGGAGGAGTTGAATCCCTTCGCGATGGAGGCGGTGGGTGTGATCCGATCTGTATGGCGTGACCCGCCGTCTATGTCCATTCACATGTACGAAGAGCAGATTTTCGGGAGCACAATCCTTGAGCACAACGCGGTCTTTTCTCGGTAAGAGAAAGTTGTAAAAAGCGGGCCCGGTCGATGCAGTGGCAATCTATATACATATAATTACTAGCTAATAACATTTAATAAAACCTATTTAATTTTACCTATATGGCAATTTAATTATTTTCTCTCAAAAAACCGTTACTTTTGATGTATTTAATCTTTCATTTAATTATTAAATAATCAACACTAATCATTTTAAAATTACAAAAATCATTTTAAACTTTTAATTACTAACAGTTGACCATATAATGTGTTGACTGTATAATGTGATTAGATGTTATTATTGTGGTTACACTTAAATAATTTTTTTAAAAAAAAAATAAAAAACGTATTTAAAATTCTAAATAAATAATAAATAATTACCAAAAAAAGACGTACCAAAATATACATTGCATCCAATCAGATAAACGCAATTTAAAAAAAAAAACAAATATTCAAACTCCTTTAATTGTAAACTAGCAAACAAGTGAAAGAAAAATGATTAATCATTATATGCATACAAATAACTCACAATACTTTATTTGCATCTATACAAATGCACAGGATCGAATACTAATAGATGTAAACAAAGGGCAAAAGCAGGGGTATTTTAGGTAGAAAAAGCGCCACGTGTTACCTCAAGAAGGCCTCTCTTGTGCACAGCCGGCCCAATTATTGTCATAATTAAACATGTTATTAAACTATAATTGAATTCTATGTTATCCCGTAAAAGTGCTTCAGTGATTGAATATGAATTTTAGAACATAGTTATCATGCTTTTATTTGTTCTTATAATATATAAAATGAGTTTTTTCATACAAGACTTGAAAGATGGGTAAACTATCAATTCGAGATCTGAAAGATCTTTTTCTCAATTCGGGACCTAAATATTACAAAACTATCAAATTAAGTTCTAGAAATAACAAAACTCATAACACCATTAAATTAAGCGTTAATTTGAAGTTTTAAACAACAAATGTGTTACAAAGTAAAAAAAAAGAGAGAGAGAGAGAGAGAGAGGGATAAAAGAAAGAAAAATGAAGGAAATTAAGAAAAATACGAGATTGTTGGAGAAAATTAAGGAAAGTATGAAGCTTTTGCTCGATTTCTTGCTATCTTCTAATTCGTTTTTTTTTTTTTTTGAAATATTATGTAAATGTAACAACATTATAATATTAGTTATAATAACATTTGGATGTAATTTACTATTTTACCCTTAAGGACCTTTGTAAACCCTAACTATATAAAGGGTGCTTAGCAGATCTTGTACGCACTTTTCATTCTCTCATTTTTCTCGCCTACTTCGTCTTCCCAAACTCTCTCTCTCTCTCTCTCTTTCTTGTATCAAACCTCCATTGTTGATTCAATCGGCATGTTCATATGTTAATATGGTATCAATCGCCATAGATCCGTTGATTTTTTAGCTTCCGCCCACATTTATCTCTCGATTCTGATCTCCATCTCTGAGATCTGCATCGTTTTCGCTCTCTGATTTTCTAGGGTTTTCCACATCTGAAAACCTCTCGTTTTTTTTTTCTCGATTTTTTTGATCTGCACCTCTCAAATCTACTATATTTCTCTGATTTTCGACTGTTTCTCGATTG